ATAAAACATTTAATATGATAGGCAGGCAGATCTACTAGAACTGCTCTCCTTGATATCTAAGTAGCCCTCACTTACCTGCAGTCTGAAGTGAGACAGTCGAGGCACAGATTTCGGCTTGGGGGAAGCAGGCCACAGGCTCTGCCTACTGCTCAGGTTGCCAGTCCAGCTACAGCTTTTTTACATCATCTTTTTGTTGAAACTAGTCCTAAGGTATATAGCATGGGTGGGACATCTTTTTCAGCCTTAGGGGTTCGTTCCATTTTGTAGGCACTCTTGGGCCCACATTCCAGTGGGAGTAGGGGTGAAAAGCAAAGGAAGCAGGACCAAAAGCAGAAGGGCTGGCACAAAAATGGTTAGCGTGATGCTGATGGAAGTTCTTGCCAGTAACTGTGCCTTAGGAGAGGCATTTCAGAATTTCAGTTATGAAGATCTAAACGCATCATGCAGATAATATTCTTCCAACTGGTCAATAAAGACAAACCTAGTCCAGTGTTAATGAGCACAAAGATCTTACAATGACTTGGGTATTTGGCAATTTAAAAATAGTTTACTAAATTATTTATATCAAATACCCTTAAACATATAGCTTACCTATTCAGGTTTTGACTTTATAATTTAATTGACTTATGAAGGCAATGGCCCAGTTTGGCACACAGTGTTAGCATTATGTTCACAAACCTGCTCCCATCCTCTTCCTTTCCTCTGGCATGCATGTATGATGATGAAATGAATCTGTTCACTTTTTCAACAAACAATAGTTTGTCAGGTTTTTCTATGTTTCTATGTTGCCTGAACCAGGGCAGCTTTGGTTAGTTTGGACTGTCTAAACAAGCCAGGATAGAAACCAGACATTATGGCTTGAGGTGTCCCCAGTGTTGTATGCCTTATATGTACTGGATTCCAACTCCCATTGGCCCTAACCTAGCAGGGCTGATGGAACATGTAGTCCAGATCATATGGAGGATTCCAGGCTGGAGTAGTCTGGAACCAGTTTATTCTGATTCAGATGAAATGATAAGGAGTGGTTAGTTGTAAACCAAAGTGGATACTTCTAAACATCTTGCAAGTGTACTAGTGGAACAGAGGAAAGGAGCAATCATTCATGTAGGTGTACGTTATGGTTTAATGCTATATCCAAGTACCACCAACATGTGTCTTCTGTAGCCACTTAGGCTTTCCATTTCTAGCACATCATCTCTAGCTACATGTTTGAAGATGCTTCATGCTGGCCTGGGACTGCATGATGTGGCAAGTTGGTGCACAAGCACAGGTAACCATGTAGAATGTCATATATGTGGTTCCCCCTTTCTTTCCCTATGAGGCTGCCACAAAATGTTTCTGGGGAATGAGAAGGAATGGGTCTCTAGGTTTCTGTTCTGTACAGCCACTGCCCCAAACACAGAAACCCAGTTTCCCCCAAATTAGGTTGCTGGGAGAAGATTGGCTACAAAGCACAGTCTCTGTAGTTGCTTCACCACTGCACTTCAATCTCTGCATGTATATTTGAATGTATCTTAGGCTTAATATGATATCAGTAGGTGTACTAGTTCAATGGTAGGTTTTTGTGACACTGGTTTTTTTTGGAGAAACTGGTTTCTTGGAGTTTTATAGGGTTGGATTAAGATATAACTGAATTGCCAGAAAGAAACTCCCATGCCTCTTCTTACTGTGAAGGAGGCCCTTCCAGACCTCTGAAAATGCTGTACAGGAAATCAGGAAGCCTTGATGAATGGTGTGGAGGTAAGGAAGCCCTAAAAACTGGGCAGACAGACCTTCGGTGAGCAGAACTTTCCATTTAGAGGAAGGCAGATCCTGGAACCAACCCACTGGCAACTACTTGATATTTCAAGCATACTCTGGTTCATCAACATATTATATTAGTGCTCAGCTGTGAAACAACTATATAAAGGACAGATAGTTGTTGATACCCATTAAAAAAATTCTTACAAAAATTAGAAGGCCTGTTAACTGAAACAGGTCATTGGTTAAAATTCTGTGCCTTGTAATACTGAATATCCCTCCACTGCTGTGTTTTCCATTCTTTACTGAGAAAGGACACTGAAAGTAGCATGCAGGTACTAGAAGGCAATGTCATTTGCAGGTGTATCTTGCTTTATTTCTTTTTTCACAGGCCAGCTGCTAACACTTTAAAAAGTTAACCTGTACTTTTCCCATGTTCTACTGCAAAAGGTTGATGTAGCTTACTTTGAAATAATGTACATTCAAATTGAGTATTTGTCAGGCACGATAATTAATGCTAACAGTAATAGAAATATTGGCACTAGCTTGTCAAGTCCAACAGTTCTTGCCATAAAATTCTGTGCTGATTCTGCTCAGTAACTGTGGGAGGACTGGTGAAGTGCAATGCATGCAGGGCTTCTCTCAAGTACTATATTCTAAGGTTGTTATCTCGGGATCTGAATCAGAACTGGAAGAAGAGGTGGGGTCAGGATTCCTAGCTGAAATGCCAAGGCCAGCAGTCCCAGTGAGAAGCCAAAAGACAATGTCTAACTTGGTGAAAAACTCCTTTGAACAGCCAGAATCAGATGGGGATGGATGTAACATGATTAATCCCATAGTCCAGCATCGGATCAAAAGAGCAAACCAATTGAACAACATCTGACATTCCTGCTGCCTAGTCCATAAGCAGCAGGGACTACCCTGAGAGTGGAGCGAACTCCTTTTGTTGGGAAGGGAGGAGAGGGATTTGGATTAGTTTCTTAGCATCAGCTTCTTAGCATCAGCATTAGTATTTCCCTAACAGCTGGTATTTTAACTTCTGCTGGTGTCGTTTGTTAATGATTTTTGCAATACAGTGTTCCCTTTTTGTATCGCAAAGCCAGCCTAGCTGCCCAGTTAACATAAGAAAGGCTTCTTAGAAGCCTCTGGTCCTGATCTGCCTGGAACAGGTGTGTATGTGTAAAATCAGCCTCCAACAGTGCATCATCACACTGAATTACTCATTTACCATGAGAACCAGCGCTTGTGCAAGATGGCTTCTTTCATATAATCTGGGATGTGGGGAGATTTGAGACCCAATGGTTAATTTATGGGTGAGAATTAGGGCAGAAATGAGGTGAAAGAGGGAGTTACACATGGTCTCACCTGTTTTATGCTCACTCTGCTCTTTGTCTTCCAGGATCTGTCTCAGTCATCTTCCCAATCCTGGCATGCTCTCTCTTTCCCTGCAAGTATAGCAAGCTGTACTATTGTGTATCTTCTCCTAATCCGTCTCTCCTACACTGCTGGACTTTCTTTAGGAAGAGAATCCTTGATGTTCTTATTCTGTGATACCCTGGGGATTTGAATGACTTTGGTTCAAAGCATGTCGCGTGTGAAACATGTGTTTAGCTTGTGATGCCTTTCAAGCTAGCCCTGTCTGATGCAAGTCATGGAACAGGAATGTCAAGAATTTAGTGCTTGCATTCTTATTGCAACACATCCCTCACCAGTTTCTAAATCTGCTGGGCAACCATTGCAAAATGTGGTTGTGATACATATTTCCACATAGGAAAGGTTTTCATGTGCATACCTTAAGTCAGGTTTTCAGCTGGTTTACCTTTGAATGTGCGGTCAATTTAGATGTGCAGAGCTCCTTAGGCAGAGTTCTTTGGGGACTGAGTCATCTCAGAAGACACGGAGATTCAGTTTGCATATTATGATAACTCGGGGCTGGCCTTCCCATTAGGCAGAGTGAGGTGCTCACCTGAAGCAACAGATGCTGGGAGGTGGCAGCAAGGTGTTGGGGGAGAGAGCTGTGTGCCACGTGGGCTGCCTTGCCTCCCCTAGGCTAGCCTACCATGTTCCAGTGCAAAGGAAGATGCTGTCTCATTGCCAGCCTCCAAGAAAGATTCAACTGCCAGTCCAGTCATCTTTTATACATGGAATGGCAGCACAATGTCTTCAGCTGGTCCTGCAATAAGCCCCTGTGGGTTAATTAAACTACAGGGCCCCAAGGCATGTGCCAGCTGCCGTTTTGGAAATGCAGGTTGTGGCACAGCTGTGCCACAGCTCGTTGTGCTATGTGAATCCAGGCATACAAACTTTTGATAGCCCTCCAAGAACTCATGGAGTGTTTAATTCTCAAATAACCCATGAGGCCTGTGCTCACACAACATGGCAAGCTGCAGCTCCCCCCCTCCCCCCGCCCTACATGCAGCCTGCATATCCAAAGTGGTGGTAAGTGCACATCTCAGCACCCAGCATGTAAAAATCCCCAGAGTATCTTCGAAAGAAAGTGCTTCCATACCTCCCCTTTTACCTGTGCTAAGCTAGCATGCGAAGCCTGATATTCTGCACTTAGGTTGGGCAGAGAAAGCATTTAGAACGTGTTCTGTTTTCAGAGTTTTGGACAGAGACTATCAACAGATGTATGTTACTGTTTTAAAGTCCTGTAATGCCAACTTCCACCTTTGTCATTATGACTGTAACGCTCCCTCCAAAAGGGATGTGTGCTTCTTCTGTAGTATCCCGTTAATGTCTAAAATATTAGGGCAATGCTCTTATTAAGCCAATCCACAAAATAGTGTGCAACCCTTTGGGCTCTCTGGAATTCTTTTTCTTGATAGATGGTAAACAAGGCTGAAAGAACGGAGTGGAGTCTGCCCTCTCCGGATCATTTAATAGCTTTCGACTGCACTAAAGATTGTCCTTAGGACTGCCAGGAGGAAGAAACAATAGTCAACAAGTCCCCCCTTCTCCCTATATAGAATCCCTCTGTGACTGGGATTGCGCTGCAGTCCAGCACATTTGGAGGGCACCAGGTTGGAAAGGGTGAAATATAAGCGTCCCCCTCCTGTTCCTGCAATGCGGTAGATAAGAATTCTGAACTATAAACAGGACATGGGGTTTAAACAGCATTCGATATTTTTCAGAAAGCTACTGTGCTCTGTCATGTCCTATGAAATTCCATTTTTCAAATATCAATGCTATTTAAGTCTTTTAAGAGAAACCTGTTATTGTTAGTGATTTTTTTTTCATTCCCTCCTTTATCTCCCTAGAAGCAAAAATGAGAGACCGACTCTTTGAGCTTTATGAGCTGTCTAAGCTTTATAGCCAACAAGCTGATGCTGAGGATGACTTGCAACTACCTGGTGCAACTCTTCTGTTTGAAACGGATGATGCCTTAGCAAGTCTTCACAAAGACATCCAGGTAATACGAACAAGTAGTCATCACCTGAAGGAGGACGTTAGGCGCCTGGCCAAGCAAAATACTCGCTTCCTGACATCTGTGCGCCGCTTCAGTAGTATAAAACGTGATGCAAACACAATTGCAAAAGACATCAAGGCCCGCGGGGAAGATATCCACAGAAAACTCCTGGCCTTGAGGGACTTCAGTGAAGATGCAGAAACAAAATACGGTTCAAGCACAATCATAGCCCGAGTGTCAAGGGACCACTATGCTGACCTCATGCATACTTTTCAGGAAGCCATGTTTGCGTACAACGAGATAGAGATGAAGCAGCGGGAGAACTGCAAGGTTCGGATCCAGCGACAGCTAGAGATCATGGGCAAGGATGTGTCTGGGAACCAGATAGAGAACATGATTGAGCACGGCCGGTGGGATGTTTTCTCCGAAAACCTTCTGTCTGATGCAAAGGGAGCACGTTCAGCCTTGAATGAGATAGAGACACGGCACAAAGAGCTGCTGAAGCTGGAGTCTCGAATCAGAGAGGTCCACGAACTCTTTCTGCAGGTTGCCCTAATGGTAGAAGAACAGGCTGACACCTTTAATGTTATTGAGCTCAATGTGCAAAATGTGGAAGACTATGTTAGCGAGGCTAAAGGAGAAGTGAGGAGAGCCCTTGAATACAGGAGGAAGCACCCTTGCCGAACAATCCTCTGCTGCTGTTTATCATGCTGTAGAGGCTGACTCTCTCCCTGAAGCTACCAGCTTGGTGTTCTGGGGCCTGTTCAGTGACTTAACGTTCTGTGCTCCTGTTCTTTTCTTTTGTGATTAGCATGACATGATGCCTTCCAGAATCACAGGAGGCAAAATGTAACCATGCCCAAATTGTAAGTGCACCATAACATAAACAAAGCTGTGGAAATATTCTCTCAGGGAATTTGGTACCATATGATGCGGTATCTACTCAGGTCTTGATTTTGTTTTCTTGTTGATGGTTTAAAACTGTTTTTAGATATATGTGTGTGTCTGTTCATTGAATATTTATGTTTTTATAAATATACAAATATGTATACATATGGTTTTTATAATGTATTTTAAGTTTCTGATTTTTGTAATAAATGGAATGAATATTGGTCATGTCATGTGGATAATAAATGTTTCTAAATGAACACACTTTTACAGCCAAAAAAGGGAGGAGAGGAATGAAGGAATTGGATTTAAAGGAGTCAGTGCTGTGGCATGGAAGAAAGAAAAGAAATTTTAGTTTACATACATGGATGTGATTTGGATAATCTAAGCATCTAGCATGCACACGATTTAAGGGTTTTGCCACAACAGTTGTAATTGGAAATAGAATATTTGTATTTTTATATAGAAGTAATAAAATTTCTCTCAATTCTCTCAATCAAAGTTAAAGAATTATTAAGTATATTTGTTAATCTATGAAGAAAGTGGTTGAATCACTATCTGTCTCAGTTTGGATGCAGGCAAGCATGATAGCAGCCATACCTGCTGGATAATATTGGGCCACTGTCAGGGAAGATCCAGAGAACAGACTGGGAATGTCACTTTTGCAAGTAACTGTGTATTGTGCTAAATGCTGCAGCAATTGCCTAGAACTTTCCTAACAGCAGCAGGAGTGGCTGATAGTCCAACAGGAGGAAACTTGTATGCCTCTGTTTAAAGCAAGGGTGGGCAATTTATGACCCTCCAGATGTTTTGGCCTGCAGGTCCCATCAGCCATAGCCAGATTAGCCGATGGTGAGGGATGATAGAAGCTGTAAGCAAAAACAGGTAGGATCCCACAAGATGCCCATCCCTGAGCTAGAGGGTGGCTGACTTGGGAAGGTCAAAACATGAAAAAGAAAGTGAAAGATTGTGCCAGAAAGGGGGCAGAAACTCAGCCTTCAGAATTAAGTCCCAAGTGTCTCCTGGTGTATGGTAAATGTTCTTTCTCAAACATCTTATGGACAGAAATAAACCTGTAGAAACCATTCACTCTATATCTGTCCCAACCATGCAAATTTTATTTTATTTTTGTTCAGTGTGGTCAAAGCAGAATAACCTAAAACCAAGATCTGTAGGCATTTAACAGTACAAATATGTACAACAATAACAATAGGATTTATTTGCTGCCTTTGAAGACTTATTTGTTAAGTTTGTGCTTTAGATATATACTTTGGACTTCAGAAAAATGTGAATCTAGTTTTATGTATGTGTTTTATTTTTAATACATTTTCAACACTTATAATACGTTAACAGCACAGTTATTCTCCTGTGCCAAAGTGTGAAGCCATTTGTATTTAGTTATATTTATTTATTTATTTTGGCTCACTCAATAAAGTACTGAAAGTTGCTATAAATCTCCTTTTGCATATTGGAAAATCGGATGCGGAACAAAACACACACACCCCATCACCATCAGGCCAAAAGTTCATGACTACAATTTATTTTATGTGAGCAATAAAATATATAGTACATTATTGCTCGGTTAACATCTTAATGCTCCTACACTGTCCCCAGGATACAGCAGGTAAGGAGGCTGGGAGAGGGATGACTTGGATGAGAAAGTGCAGGGAACAGTTATCAGAATTCGCAGATGATACAAAACTGGGTAGGATAGCAAATAACCTAGCAGATAGAAGTGAGATTCCAGGTGATCTTGATAGGTTGAAAGGCTGGGTTGGAAACAACAGAATGAAATTCAACAGGGACAAATGCCAAGTTTTGCACCTAGGAAAAAGAAACCAAATGCATCAATACAAGATGGAGAATACTTGGCTCAACAATACAGCAAGTATTCCAAGGATCTTGGAATTGCAGATTAGAAGCTGAACATGAGTCGATGATGCAATGCAGCTCCAAAAAGGGCAGATGCTCTTTTAGGTTGCATTAATAGAGGGATCACTTCCAAAACCCATGAAGTACTAGTTCCTCTCTACTCAGCACTGGTTAGGCCTCATCTGGAGTACTGCATCCAGTTCTGGGCACCACAATTTAAGAAAAATGCAGACAAGCTGGAAAGGTTCAGAGGAGGGCAATAAGGATGATCCAGGGACTGACAAATGATATGGTAAGCATATGAGACAATGTGATAGGTTCACCTGCCTGATATGTTACTAGCCCTGTCACTTCTTTTAAATGGTGCCTCTTTTAAAAGATGAGCATCTCCATAAGTTGTGATTGCTCAACTCTTCTGTTCTTAAATAACCTCAGTTTTTCCGGGGGGGGGGGGGGGACAGAAGAAACACTGGAAAATAAGAGAGTTACAAATGCTTTGTGTAGCCTGTAATCTAAGGATGTAGCTAACGAGGTGTGGAGATTCTATGCTGAATACCTGGTGAGGGACCAGCCAGTTTTTTTTAAAGGTCTTGCTGTGAAGTAGTAAAAGCCTGTACGCTTATGTGGATTTTTAAAAGTCTAGCTAGAGAGACTGATAAAATACACAGGAATTGGAACTTGACTCCACACTACTTATTTGGTATATTTTTAGGCAGCACAAGAACAAATGTTCTCTGGGCAGATTATGAATACTTAAAAAAATAGACAATACAGTAACAGCCATACAGAGCTAGTCTCTGGCAAATAGAAAGGTTTTTGCCTGGAGCCCAAAAGATAACTGTATAGGTGCCAGGTGAGCCTCTTTACAAAGGCCATTCCATTAGTTGGTGCCACCACAAGGAAGAGCCCTTTTGCTTACCCTTCAAATCATCTAGCAGGAAATAAAGGAGGGCCAACCTACCTTCTAGCCCAGTCAGTGATCTACCTAACTCAGTATAGTTGCTGGATGTGCATTCCTTCTCTGTAGTTCCTCAGACTTAATCTTTCCTAGGTGAGGAGATTCCAACATCCATAAGGGGGTTTCATACATCAGAAGTAAGTGCAGTGATAAAGAAATAGTATTATGTAAAATAAACATATAGTACATAACTGAAGATATATCTGTTCTAGAAGAGAATGCTTTAAAAACTGCATGCTATGTATACTAATCTTTCTCCCAGGATTACAATTAACATCATTTCTTTACAATTGCTTGACCACAACCAGGCTGTTTACAGCTGAAAGAATATGGATTCCATTTAGAAAACAGGGTTTGTGCAATTAACTTCAGCAGAGTGTGGACTGCATGCTAAGGCTGGCGAATTAGGCAGACCAATAAAACTTTAATATGGCAGAATATGGCCTTCTCTTCCCAGACTCTTTGTTGTTGTTTTAAAAAATAGATTGTTTGCCTTTTCAATTTGTTTGCTGATGAACTATATCGGTTTTTTCATTATTGCATCAGTAATGCAGGTCATTTCTAAACAGCTCTTCATTTCCTTAACAAAACCACAGTTTTGCCAGGAAATGCATGAAACCACATCATTTTAGTTTTGTACCCCTCAAACACAAGAAAGAAACTATGTTATTTTTAATGCACCCAAGAATAAATTTCCCAGCATCTTGAGCCTCAAGAGCTTTCAAATTACATTTTGGGCTCTTTATGGTTTAGTACTTTAAAAGGGGCCCATGGAAATACAAACTGAAAGTTAGGGTCTAAACACAAGCACCTGATCAGTCTGCAATAAACTGTACTCTCCTTACTTTTTCAGTAAACCCTGATAGAATCAGACTTTAATCTATGTTACAGAGGGTGATACAGAATGTTATACATATTCCATATTAATTTTCCAGATTTAAATTATAATACTAAATTCCTGAAGTGAAACTGCTCAATCAGTTTTTCAATTTTTAAAGAGATACTTAAGATGGAGGTTTAGAACAAGAGCATAAATCTTGGAATTGGCTGTAAGCATTTGACAGCCTTTGTGTGAAAAGCATATATTCACATTGTGAATAATAATGGATAAACAGGAGCAGCTTAATTTTTTTCATCTTACCTGTGTTTAAATTTTGAACTCTCTTCCATTCCATCCTCTGCTTGTCATTCTGGTTTGGTTTGTTACCCCTACTGTAAAGTGTAGATTGTAAACTTCTTGGGGCAGAGACCTGACTTTTTATTTGCATGTTTAACTTTTAAAATTGTGAATTACTTTATGAATCATCGGGAATCCTCTATCTGAAAGGATTGGTCGTGTCAAAGTTGAATTAAACATACACTCACGGGGGCGGGACGGGGCAGGGATACAAAGAGCCTTTCTATAGGATGATCACTCAACGGTTTGCTTGAGGTTTTGGTGACTTTTCTTTGAGGAGCGGAGTCAGGCCATAGCACAAACCGCCTCTGAAACTGCCGTTTCAAAATCAGTGGGTATTGAAAGGGGAACTGATGTTGAGAGAAACAGACTGAAAGACCCCTTAGATTTACGCAGTTACCTGCACTGTTTCTTACTATGTATTTTTAATTATCACGGGTTTCCAGGGCTTTGCAAAATCAACGCAGACAATGCATTTCAAGAACTGCCCATCTGGATGCTGTTATTCCTGAGCCAGCGCTTCACTACCTCACTTCAGTGCAGACTCAGCCGCCTTTTCCCAGCAGCACAGTTTTAGAAACGTCTTTTAAAATAGGGTGCGTTTCCCGTATTGGCAATGGCGCCGGATGGGGAGGCGGAAGAGGTGTTATTTATATGGCATCTGCTGTAGAGACAGGAGATCCGAGTATATGGACCAGGACGATTTTAAGGGCAGGCACTGCAGTGCGCCCGCCCGCGCCCTTTTCTCTCTCTTCGCTTTCCTTCTGTAATCCGGGTTCCGCTCGCTGTTTCGCTTGCTGCGCCCTCCCGTGCGCCGAGGGATAAATGCTTAAAGGCGAGCCGAGGGAGAAGAGAAGGAACGAGAAAACAGCGGGGAGCCACACGATCGTTTTTCTTTCTCTTCCTCGCGTGCGCTGAGTTAGAGCGGAGGTCGTCGCAGGTTAGCCAGGACCGCAGAGGCCTGGATCGGCCGCACAGCGCTTTGTTCTATGTAGGGGTGCCTGCGTGCTGGGCTTACAACCGTACCAGGATGGCCGAGTGGTTAAGGCGTTGGACTTAAGATCCAATGGACGCATGTCCGCGTGGGTTCGAACCCCACTCCTGGTAGTTGGTTTTTTTCCCACCAGCTCTCCTTAAATTAAAGACTACCGGATGGAAAACATGTGGAAGCCACCCGGTGAAATTTCAGCCTCTGAACGTTTCTCCGGGACTTGGCGATACCCGGGAGGACTGAACTTCGGGCGGAGCCAATCTGGCTCCCTCTCTAAGTTGCTTCCGCTGCTGTGCAAATCTACTTGACAAGAAGGCGGGAGCGAAATAACCTCTTGTAAATGCACGGCGTGCCCTGGCAGCATAAAGTGCAGTTGAAGAGCGCCTCCTTTTTATAATTTTATTTTTACCAGCTCATCGTGCAGCGGAATGAGCAAGACAGATCACTAATTTAACTAGTATTACTTGCTAAAAAGCACCTACACGGTATCCCATAACAAACGCGTAAATCCCTTCTGGCAGGTACAAAACAAATTAAAGCTTATATCTACAAAAGATCTGTAACTTTTGAAAACGAGGAGAGTGGGGAGAGGGAGCATTATTCTGTTTGAGTTTTCGGTGTATGGCATGGGACACTAAAGATATTTGTTCTATATATTTCTAACAACAATGAAAAAATAAACCACACCATTTTACATTTAACTAGAAAATTTATGACAGCTATAAGTAGGAATTCTGGGATTTCTATTAAACTGATGACCTGGAGCAATAACTGAAAATGCATACTGGAATCAGAATTTTGTTTTGCTTTATTTCTCTTCATTTCGTTTCTTTCTTTTAATTTGTTGAAAAAAGTGGCCCACACTTTCCCAAGTGCTTGACCCTCTGGTTTGCAAACGTTTAACTGCACCACTTTTTCTGTACAAGAGGATCTTGTACAAAGAACCAATAACAGGAAAAATAGAAGAAAGGTGTGCTCAGCAACCAACAAGCCAACAAACACAGCCTCTTGTATGCTCAAAACATAAGTGTGACTGCCGGGAAAAACCCAATTGGCTAGATAGATAAATGCATATTACGGGATCTAATATTTTAATAATTATATCACAAATTAGTATAAAACAAGGTGTAACAAAGCCAACCTAAATATAGCCACAGAAATTATGCTTGTCAGTTAACAAAACCAGGAAAAAGAGGTAAACTGTAACAATGCAGGCCACAAATAGCGATTATGACGACAATCCAGTCACTGCACATAGCTCAATGGGAGGCCAGTACGATTGCGTGCTTTATAACTAATTATGACAGACCAAAGGCCCAGTACTTGGGTCAAGCTCTTCCATCACTGCTGGATAAAGGGAGAGCAGGATGGGTGTCAAGGCCTGTCACGGACTCTTACCAAGGGCCCACCTCCCAGTAGCCATCCACTGGTGAGGCCCCACTGAGGTTGATGCTCT